TGCAAAAAAAATCATTCCCTAGTAGTTAGTGATAGAGAGGAAAGATGATGGCAAAATTTAGAGGATTCAACATTATTAGTTATTTAAATATATAAAGTTCCTAATATTCAACATCAAACTACTGTATAGAATTTGGGTTCAAAAGTTCCATGTGATAGGCTTCAAAATTATGTGTGATTTTTGACGCAATTGATTGAGTTATGAAAAATATAAATAATTCAGACGCAATTAAAAATTGAGTTTTTGGAATTAGTCAAAGTAAAATTAATTTTGACAACATGCATATTCCGGACTCTTTTTAATATGTCACTTACTTGACCTAGACTAATTGAATATTGTATTGCTAATCGATTTTTTTTGGTTGAGGTCGATTTCTTTTTAATAAGCAGATTTCTCTTTTTGCTCAGCTGTAATAAAGTTTCGCCTTTTAGACGATGATGGTTGTCCTTGTGACGTTTTTTGTTTTTAAAATAATCAACAATCCAAACAACAAAACTTGTATTTATATCTTTTAGAATTTCAGAAAATAATCATACAATGAATTCTTGTCTATATTAATATAATTATGACAGATTGTACGTTTTTATTTAACGTATTAGTATTGGTATGTTTTTTAATCAATTATCACGTGAATTTGTTGCAACGTGATTAGTAAATATTACTATTACCAAAGCTTTTTTTTTAAAAAGATTATTTATTTATTATGCGCCAAAAAAAAAAAAAATCATGATATTGATAATGTGATTATCAATTATGTGGCGATTTGATTATTATTATTGTTTATTTATAATGACGGCGACTTGTGATAATAATAAGAATAAAAAAACGAGAAATAAAAATCTTGTTTTAAAAAGACTTAGTTTATGTTTCAAAGCAACAATTAAGTTTTTGTTTTGAATGATCCATCTAACCGCAAATATACAACACAAAAATTTTTTTTGTAATGATTTAAAATTGAACTAGATGATTGAACCTTTAGAACATATAAATAACGTTGTAAGTTTCTTCATTTTTGTTTCTTTTATCTTTATCGTAATTGCATCCACATAACAAGAATATATCTAATAAACCTATTTTTAACCATAAAAAAATAAACTTGAAATTATTTTTCTATTTTTTTTTTTATTGTTAGTGAGGAATTGTGTAATGAGGTATTGTTCAAGGAGGTATTTTTTTAGTGAAATATTGTTTAGCAGGGTTTTGATTTATTAAGGAGTGGCTATACAGATTATATTGAGAGAAGGTAAAACGTATATATTGGTGGAAATTATTATTTTGGACTCGGACACGATCTCACAACACTGAAAATTTTCAATTTTCTTACCAGCTAGGCTATAAAAAAAAGAAGAAAAAAAATGGAAAAAGATAACTTTGACTCAAATGATAATAATGACATTATAGAAGTAGTAACAGAAAAGATAAAATATCAATCATGGAAGAAGATAATCATAATTCTAATTTAAATACCAATGATACAAACAATGATGCTATTCAACAACATATTGATGAAATAAAGTATAGTCCTAATTTAAAGTTTTTAGTAACTTACATTAAAGATGATAAATATATTGTTGGATGGACAGTTGATCTTGACAAAGGAACTATCCGGCAAGATAAAGATAATCGCTTAAATATTCTGATGTTGATTCCATTGATATTTTTATAAAAGATGTTTCCGAGGACAAATGTATAATTTTATGTGATGGGTGTTATAGTAAGCAATTATTAATTAATTGATATATACTTTTATTATTATAATACCAAAATAATAAAAATATTTAAATCGTTTAAATTAACTTTTTAGGATTTCAAAACTTTACAAAAAAAAAATACATTGATTTTATAATTAATGGTAAAATACACAATGAATGTTTATTACAAATAATGATTTAATAATGATTGATGGTTATCTTGATAAATTCTCTTTACACAATTTTTCATATATAAGTAAGGATGATACAAACGATAAATTGGTTCGTGAAATCAACATATTATTATAATAGTGAAGATTACAATGGTATAAATGTTTTTGTAAATTCTGGAAATTTTCTAATTGGTTCTGATGGTTTAATTATATCACAATAGAAAGTTGGAACAATAACATATCAAGATAATTATTATTTAGTATATAGAGATTCCATGATATTTTTTGAATGATAATTATCAAAATGATATTATTCTTATTTAGATTTTTGATAAACAATAAAAATAATTGATTTTTTGGTAATAAGTTCATACCTGGTTGGCCAAGTATTTATCGGCTGATATCACTAAATAAAATCTGCGGAATTTATAGCAAAAATAGGACCCACACATTACATACAAATGTCATCCAAAATTTTATATGTGCGAGTTTTGTAAGTACAAATTGAAATTATGATTTGGATACAACAAACGTTGCTAATTTACCATTAAAGCCACAGTCATGTTACAATTAAAAAAAACCAGGTGTTTGTACATTAACAAAAAAAAAATTTTGAAGGTTTGCCGTGTATATTTGCAGATTAAATCCTTAACAGTTAATATGATTAATTGGGAAGATAGCGAGTGAGAGTAAAGGTAACGACATGTTAATCATTACAGTCAAACCTCTTTTCAACGAATCTATGGGGACTATTTATACCAAAATTTTCAACGAATTTTATATGTGAAGCAAAGAATTCGTTGTTAATATTAGTACATATGTTGAAACAAGATTCATTGAAATGTGTTAATTTATTAACATTTAAAAAAAAAATCACATACTAATTTCAGTAATGATTTTATGTAATATTGCAATGATGGGGAAAAAAGATTTTAATGTTCCACGAATTTAATCATGTTGTATATAAAAACAAGCGACAGACAGAATCATTGTTTCTAATAGAAATCTTTGCAGAAACCGAAAATATCGGTATTGAAAACCCTTTGTGGAACAGAAGGACACTAACCATTTTTTCGAGACAAATGTTTCAAAATCAGAATGTCGCACAAATGGATTATCACGAAAAAATTTTTCATTTCTTCCCACAACACTCACAACAATACAATAACCGACTCCAAAGGAACAAAACAAGCAAATTTTTTATAAACAACTATTGATGCGTGACTATTATCAACATTTAATGATTATAAGACGTGTCAAAGCAACAATAATCATTGAAGATCCTCACACGCACGCACGCACGCGCACGCACGCACGCACGCACGCACACACACGCACACACGCACACGCACAGCCCTTTAAGGGCTTGAATGTTAAAACATTTTTCTCACCATCCTTTAGTGTACAAAAAGGCTGAACCGACTGTTCACTCCGACGAAATGATGATGCAATGAAATCTCAGGGGGAGCACGGGAGCTCTGGGGTTTATTTATTGCATTGTTGTCAAGGCACCTCCCACTTGTATAAAGCCTACAAAGGACTAGGTGGTCCTCACCTGTGAATTGTGAATAAAATTCTCAGTGTGTGGGGCGCGTTAGCGAAAGCAACCAAACAACGTCTTTTGAAAAAGGATATTTTTTATCAAATCTGACACCACATGATAAAATATCAGATTTGTTTGTTTATTTTACTTTTTTTTGGAAATGGTTTTAAGGAAATGGAT